TATTATTAGAAATACTACCAATACTTATCATCTTCGATACTATTTCTAATAGTTGTTTCTACACATGCTTTTAGATGGAGGAAACAATTAGGAATTATGTGCTCCAAAAGACTTTAGAATCATACAACGAAAGATTTAATTGATTAAAAATTAATAACTCCTAAAATCTCCACACTCATATAACATAATAACCACTCTTTTTGTAATGCAATCTTTATTATCACATTTTTTTCAAACCTTCATCATAAAAATACTATATTGTTTTAAAAAAGGCTCCCTACTTATTTGTGATGACGTTATCTAAATTGATGTTGTATTCATTCTCTAAAATGACTTCAAAAGGTTCCTTCAAAATTTTATGTACACATGTATGTTATGTGATGTTTCATAAAGAACATGTTCAAAACATGCAAGTCTTTATGGAAAATGCTTTTATTCGATTGTTTGTTTACAAAGAGAAGTATGTTATTTTCTCCGTTTGGAAAATGTAAAAACATTTTATGTACAAAAAATGCGAACATTTTTCAAAAATCATGAAAAAATTAATCCTCAAAAATCAATAACCTAGACAAAACTTTTGAACACGTTTCAAAATCATGAACAAATCAAGGTGTTTTAGATTGTATGAGGCGTGGTGTCGTAACAAACTTTTTAACATGTTCCAAGTAATGTATAATTATATAATTTATAATTGTATGTTACTCGTGAGATTGTAGAGTTCCTAATAGAATCTTCTAAGGAAAAGTATTTAGCTATTTGGATTTTTCAATGGCCACTACAACATATTCCAACTTCCTAGTCAAACACCTCAAAATATTTTCAACAATACGCTCGTCTGTAATGATTTCACCATTAACCGTCATATGGTTTGTCAAAGTAACTACTTTGTTAAAAACAACTTTAATCTGATGCATCTTTCAATGGAAGGGACGCACGGATTATTTTCAATATGGCTTCATCAACAATTTGGTAGACGAGGAATATAGCCCTCTAGCTTTTTATTTATTTATTTATTTATTTATTTTTGTCTATTTATTAAATCTGATGGTACATTTCAACTACGATCCATAGATCTTGCAATTTGAAAAGAATCTTCATCTATTTCCCCAATGATGATAGTTTTTATTATTCCATTTCAGAATGTTGTGGCGACAACAGATTCCCGTTATAAGATGTCATGTATGTTATTATCTTTTGTGTTTTCTGCAAACAATTAGCCAACAAAAAGAGAGAAAAATAACTTCACTAAGAAACTAACAATATTTGATTAACCATTAAAAGAGAGTATAATATATTTATAGACATGAACCATTGCAACCTTTTAGATTTCGGTTGAATATAAATATATAACTAACTTTAACATCAAAACTTAACTAACTTCTGGTAACTAACAACTATTAATTGTTACATAAAGCTTACAAGTCTAGATTAGTAACTTAACATAACGGTTAGTCGGTTTATCCAGTTTAACCCAAATATTAATGTTTAGTCCAAATCAAACCCATAAAGTCGTTATTATTTGTTTAATCAAACTAGATTGCCCGAAAAACAAATAACTCAAACTATATAGCGTAAACATCATTGTTTGGTTTGATTCAAACATGTTATAAACTTTAACATTTAATAATGGTATTATGCTAAAGATAAGAGCACATCAATTAGACCTGATAGAGTTTTGAATAATTAAACTCATACTCTTATCTATCAAATCAACGATTTTCAACCCTTTTACCCAATCAATTTACAATATTAAGATGTGGCTATAATTATGCAATACAACATATATAACATCAATCACTAAAAAGTAAACCAGAAAACAATCATTCCAAAATAAACTTCAATTGTATCTTAATAAATAAGAATTTTAAAAGAAAACAAAAGTCTATTATTGCAAACTTGTATGATTTCACATAGTTATTTGTATTGGGAGTCAACCGGAGTTCGGCCATTAAGAACTCGGAAGTAGAAATGGAATGATTGAACTCCTCGAGTCTTGTACTAAACATTGTATCCGTGATTGATAAACCTATAACTTATAAATAATAAATATATATGTTAATATTTTAGATGGGGCAGGTCTACTATGGCAAACTTGTATGATTTCACATACTTTTCCCTCTCGTTCTAATTTTTTTTCTTTTGATTTCATTTAACCGGCTAGTAAATAACTCTTTTCCTTTATCTACCGGCTCATTCATGTACCCTAGTGGATTAATCGGCATGTTGGATTTTGATTAATTGATTTTGATTAATTTCTCTGAAATTTAGGGTGAATTAGGTTAAGAAGGAATAGAAAACATTGTAGATCATGTGTATTAATTCTCCCTTTTATGCGATTTCAATTTGACTATCTAAAAATCTTGGAAATTGGATAGAAAAATCAATAAAATCAAATGGTCTCAAATAACTAATAGTTCACTTTTTCTTCGATCCACTAACGTTAAAACCATAAAGTTCTGGAAGGTATAAATTTAAAATTTTGTGATCCTACTTTTTTGGGATTATTATTTGTATTTAAAATCATTCTAATTTCATGGTTGAAGTGACACTTCAACATTGTAAAAACGATTTTATTAGTACCTCAAATATACCTACATCTCTATGCTTACATATGGTATTTATATGCAACCTGTTAATTTATTTTTAGCAGTTTATCTATTATTATTTTTAGCAGTTTATAATTAATTTTTATCATCTAAGTTTCTAAATTTTATGTGCAATTTACAATATATAGTTTTAACCCAACTTAAAATATACATTAAATATACCAGAAGCATATATGCTATTTGACAAATCCTTTGTAAAGCCAACCACTATCACTAATCATTATAAGACACTCAGCACATGGATAAGGTTTTACCCCATAGAAAACATACATCTTTTATGTTTGTTTTGGCTTTTGTTAATATTTAAGCCAATTGTTTAATATATTACATAATATATGATTTGTACAAATTTTTTTTTTTTTTCTGAAATTAGAAGTTTTACCATTTCTTTTACTGTATGAATTTGATTTCTAATATGTACATGCTTTTGACATATAAACCGTTTTACTTTAGTGACTTTGAGATCAATATAATACATACAAAGGTATTGTCCTAATGAGATCAAAAGAGGAATGGTTCAGATTAATCATTGTTTCTGTCAAACTATCTTCAATAAAATGATCATTGAATGAATTTGCTGCAAGGATAAGCGCTCAAGTGTTTTGCACTCTTTACTTGATCTAAAATAAACATAACAGCCTTGTGTTTTTATTTTCAATTAATTTGGTATTTTTGCTATGATTTGTAATTAAATAACAAATAAAGGCCCCTTCCCTTTCGCTTTCCCCACTTTATCTACTCCTTCACTGTTGTTATTGATCGAGAGAAACAAACACATAGACACATAAATACTCGATGAGAATGAAAACAGAGATTTGCTCACACATCTCTCTATCTTTCTTTGTATCGTATCAGCAGACACCATAGGAGCAAGGTCACCTCCTCCATTACACTTCTGTAACTACATCTCTTTCTTTAACGTGTTGCTGATCCAAGATTCACGTCGAACACACACACACACTTGTTCGAAGAGTCACCCAAACCCAGAAACAAAATCTGTTGGAATTAATCGATTATTTACCAAGTTCACGTGATTATGCATATGGTTGGGTTTAGATTCATTTATAGTTTTATATGTTGGGCGTGTTTGGTAAAAGTAGCTGTTAGCTGGAAGCGGGTAGCGATTAGCTGGTAGCGGGTAGTTGGTAGCGTGTAGCTGGTAGCTGGTAGCGGAAAGTTGTAGCTTTTATTTGTTATATGAATGTTTGGCAAAAGTAGCTGGAAGCTTTTGAAATATATAAAATTACATAAAAGGACAATTTTATTAAAAATAAAAAAATATATAAATATATTTTTAAGGGTAATTATGGAAATTGATTTCAAAAGCTCCGGAGCGTTTTGTTAAAAGCTACATGAAGTAGCTTTTAGAATCGGAGCGTTTTGTTAAAACTAAAAGCTAAACGCTCGTACTGCCAAACGAAGTTTTTTGTTTAAACTGGAGCGTTTTGTCAAAAGCTAAAAGCTAGAAGCTCCCAAACGCTTCCAAAAGCTCCATGCCAAACACGCCCGTTATGTTTTATTAATAGTTTATTAGGTAGAATAGGTAATTTGTTGGAGTTGTACGTTGAGAAAGTAACGTTGGAAGATTGAGTCATGGGTGTACCGGTTCTTTAGGTGAAGTAATGGGTAGATCTATATGGCTACTTTCATGCTCAGGTGGTACTCTCTAAGGCTATATATTGTCATCTCTTTTTATGAATAAAGTGTGTTTTTTCCTCTGTTAACTTCTGGACTCTTCCTCTTTTCTTTTCTTTAACTATTTTATATTGTGAGCTTCCTTTCATCCGAGTTTTGACATTTGAGAATTCAGAATCAACAAAATCCCTAAATAGAGTATAAGCATTTTGGAAAATGTTTTTATGTTTCGAAATATTCTTATTGTCCAAAATATATATAGAAATGACTTGACTTAAGAGAATTACACAAGAATTTTTTAAGGTGTTTGCGAAATGCATGATGTTCAATAAAGAAGGTTAAATAGAGAGAAGTTGTATTCTTGTTCGAAAATAAGAATATCCCATTTTCCAAACAGATTAATATTCTATTATAAATATTAAGAAAATCATTATTTGTGTTAACCTTATTATTTCTAAGTATAAGCTGAATATATTCGGTTCAAGGTAAGAAAAGTCCTAGGTTTATATTTTAATAGAGTTAGCTTGTTTACGTGGCAATGTTTTGATTGGTGTATGGAAGTCGGACGTCAAACTTTGAACAAAGAATCCACACACAATGAGAATAAAAAATGTACCCATATTTTGTATTCTATAGAATCCATTTGAAAGCGACCATTCTATCATATGTGCTTTTCTCTACCCACTTCACATGTATGTATATATGTACCTGAATTATGTTTTCACCTATAACTCAGTCCAGAATCAAGTCTTGAGAACCATGAAAACAGAAATGACAATGGCTTTTTGGTTGCTTTCACAACGACTAACACAATCCTCATGGTGGCCGGGTGCATTGAGGTTGCTCAACAGATCCAACAAAACCATGCAAGTTCCGGTAGAGAAATATGTGGTGTTTGATTGCATCGTATGTCTTTGTGAAATGTCTCAGGAAGATGAGTACAGACAGCTTCCAAACTGCAACCATGGCATCCAATTTCATGCTCATTGTATCGATGCATGGTTAAGAAATCATAGCAATTGTCCAATGTGCAGAAGCAGCGTCCCACTCCCATTGTCTCGACGGCTAAAAGCATATGTTTTTCAACATCTTCTTGAAGATGTTATCTCGTATTGCAACTCTTCCTTAGATAACGTAGCTAGCTCTATTGTTAATTGTTGAGAATTTTGAGCATATCTATCTGATTTGTAGGACATTTGTTATTATTGAAAAGAAATAGGTTTAGATGTACATTTTTAATCTCATGTTTTTCTTCCTTTTTGAAGGGCATGAATGTTTGGTAGTTGTAATTTTGATATACACGATACCAGCTTGGATTAATTTATAACTAAAATTTGGTTTTGTTTGAAGAGTATTTTTCCAGTCAACTTCTGATACGATAACTCATGTATTATAACAACCAAGTGTAAAACCGGAATAATAAAATAATAAAAATGAAAATAGATTGAATTGTGTTGGTTTTATATGGTTTACATCATGGATAAATGGTGCGGCCATTGTCAACATTTGAATGGGATCGACGTGCCATGTAGTAGTACCCAACCCCTTGTTTCGTCAACTAACAATTTTTATTCCAACGTCTATGCTATATTGTTAATTATATCTTTGATTAATTTGAAGGTTAAAACAACAGGAAAAAACTACTTTCACTATTTGTTTCCAAGTTCTACTTAAGGAGAAAAATTAAAGGATAAGGAGCGAAAATGAGAGGTGTCCAAGGAAAATCCAGTTTCATTAATGGAAGAAAACTAGGGAGGGAAAGGATTTTAGAGCCATATTTTCCTTTCAAAATTTCATCCCAAATTAGGTGGATTTTGGAAGAAAGGGAGTGGAAGGAAAATTTTTAAAACTTAAATTTTTTCTTTAATTTCCGTCGAATTCGGAAACATGGAATAATGAATATTTTCTTTCACCTCCCTTTCTTTCTATCAAAATTTTCCTTCAATTTCTTTAAATGAATTTACAAAAAAAAATTCAGGAACAAGGTGTCAAAGTTTGTCGTCTATAAAAACAACTATAATTATGTATTTACGTAGACAATATTTCACACTTGGTCCATATAGTTTGCAAAAAATATTTCTTTCAGGATAACTATCATAACAGTTAGGTACTTAAAGGTTTTGTATAAATTGGATACATTTCAAGTATAACAAACAACCACAAACTAACTAATCAAAATAAAGAAAAGAGAAATAAAGAACATGAAAAATTCACCAAATGGTCTTTCCCCAAGAAATGATTTGTCTTCACAAAGAAGATGATTTGTCACAAAGACGGTCACCAAGATACTGACGACACCTAGCCGTTCTACATTAGGGTTTCATCCCAATGTAGTATATACAATGTTATAAAACTCGCTGAGTTGGCCGATTACTCCTCCAAGTACTCGCTACTTGGCCCCTTACCGAGGGGAGTTACAGAATCCAGAGTACTCACCGACCGGTCCATCACTAGAATGAGCAATGTTTAAAACCCGGTTAACTCGGTGATTAATATATATATTATACTTAATGATTTATTATTTAAACACACATATGTGATTATTACTACATATATATCCTAAATTTTTTAGTAATTATTCACGAAGTGATACCATTATATGTTTTTTAGTTGTGTGTATTCACATGTATCTAATTTTATTATAGATTTCAATCAAATTATGATTTTAACTTATGATCTTGACATATATAATTTCCCTAAAAATATTTTCTACAAGAATTACCGAATCTAAGTACTCCCCGAGTACTCCCGAATACTCGCTACTCAGTAGTTGGCCGAACAGGTACCGAGTAACGAGTTCTACAACCTTGAGTATATATACGAAACTAATCTAGTGAATCATTTAATTAGTTTCATTGTATCTTATCTACATATAAACAGATCCTTATCACCAAGATATCGGATCTGTTATCTACTCTATATTTATAGAGATCCCAACCTAATATACAAAGATATCTAAGATCATGGACTTCATTTTGACACTGATTATTCTGGAGCTGACACGGGTGCTAGTGGTTAGCATGTAATGTTTGACTCGTCAGATCATAATGTGTGACCTTACAATTTCCTCTATCCGATGATGTCAAAACTAATCTTTAGCAAGTTCTTCAGCTTTAACAAATGCTCCTCCATAGAAGGTGTATGTCTCCTATTTTTGGATATCAACAGTAGAAGCAATAAAAGCAGTAGAAGTAATTAGTGTATTATGAGTTGTAGTGAACCGATAGATGACAAGGAGATGAAAGAATGTTGATAAAGTAACAGTTTACCAGAGCTAGACTGTCACAACTAGCATTTTGCTAGGAAATTCTATTCCCATGTAAGCATCATCCATTGTAAAAGCTTATACTCTATTCTCGTTCAAATACATCTCATATATTCAACTAAGGGTTGGAAACCTTAGAAATCTTGGTTCAAGATTATTATGGACTATGATTCTCTTATTGGGTCTAACGAACCAATAAACTTTCAACTTGACTACTTTAGGCCTAAAATGATCCATCTTATTTCTAATGGGCCTTATTGGGCCATAACAACTCCAATTAACCTTAATGGACCATAGAAACTATTCTTTTATACTTTTGGGCCGTGAACTACCTTAAAGGCCCCATGGGTCGAAAATTTTATGATTAGGCCCCAAAAATCCTAACTAAATTTTAATGGGCTCAAACTATCCCATTCCTACCTTCTTGTCCCAAAAATCTCGGCCCAACATCAAAGAAAAAAAAGGGGGGATAAGAGGGTGATTAGTGTAGTGCCACCTCATTAATAACAATAAGTTAATCATATTATTGTTTAACATGTATTTATGCACCTAACCTTGATCCTCCAAGTAAAACCCAACTCATACTCCTTCTCTCCTTCTTAATCTTGGTCATAGATCCAAAAATCACCACCACACACTCATTTTCACTTACAAAATCTCTTAAGGAAAGCTCTCAACAAACCCCTAAATCTTCCTTCAAATTTCAAGATTTCATGTGTATCTTCAAAGAGGCTTTCATCTAGATCATCATCTTTGGTAAGTTGTTGTCATACTTAAGTCTTTGATTTTCATCCTTAAGCTAAGAACACTCCCTTATAAAGCTTCATTTCGTGATCTAACACCCTAGAAGCCATCTAAGTCCGAAAGCTACTTCAAGGTGTTGCTAGGAACCAAAAAGCTCTTCATCTCTTCTTCAAACCGAAACATCAAAGCAAAGTAGAGTTCATACCCCCTTGTTTTGGTTTTTACTTGTTATTGGGGGAGAATACAAGTTGCTTTGTGTAGATCTATGTGTATATGCTTGAATATGTGTGTTATCCATGAATTATTTGGTGATTATGTGTTGATTATTTCATTAATCCAAAAATATGTTAAGAACTTGAAGTTTATCTCTTGGATCTTCATAAGAACTTTGATAAAAGTATGTTTTATCACATATAATACATTTAAACTAGTAGATCTGAGATTTATACACTTTAAATAGCAAAAATGAGTGTTGTGTTGTAAGATCTATAAATCAAACGAATAAAACAGCCCTTGACAAGAAAGTTTTGGTCCAATCTCGGACTGTTTTGACCCTCTTCATTGGAAGTATTTTTGAAAACTGATTTACATGGATAAAGTTCAGATTTATACCTTTAAAATGATTACTCTCACGTTTTCATATGATTTTTCTACACTTTTTGGCGAATTTTACAAAACTGCCTATCAAATTTGAAATAATTTCGGACCACCCTGTGAAGGTGGGCAATTTCACACTTGTTAGAAGCCATTAAAAATTATGAGAAACATTGTTAACAAATTAGACAAAATTTCCAAAATTTTAGAATTTACAGATCCAAATTTCGACTTACGATGATTTTTCTACAAATTTTCCAAAAACTAGGTCGGAAAAGCCCAAAACCAGACAAATATATATTTCCACAAAATTCAAGCCAAAAATGATATTTTTGACAAAAATGGGTTTAAAATGTTATTTTTATCACAAAGTAGTCATCAACACAATTTTTTAACAAAATTGGAGATTAAAGTGTTATTCTTACAAAAATTGGGCCTTAATTGTAATTTTTTGGCTTATTGGGCCAAGAACATTAATTTTACAAAAAGTGGGCTTTTATATCAACTTTGTAACTAATCAAGCTACAATAAACAAAACAATATCAAACGGGTTAAAAACGATATTCATATCCTTATCGGGCTTAGAAATAATATATATGTTTAGTGGTCCTTAGTGTCCTTTTACATGTATAGTGGGCTTAGGATAGAAATTTATATTCCTTTGAGCCTGGAAATAATAGACACGTATAGTGGGCCTTAGTGGTCCACTTACATGTTTATTGGGCCTAGGAATGAGTTTTATATGTGTTCTTTCTTTTGATATTTTAGTGAATTCTTGAACCTAAACCAACGAAAAACTAACAAGCGGATTAATTTGATCATTTTTATGTTTGAGAGGTCCTGTATACTATTTATATGTTTATTGGGCCTCATTGACCCATTAACATATGCGATAGACCTTGGATACTATTTGTGTGCTATTTGGGCCTGTAAATACTTTACATGTGAAATTGGCCTTAGTTTTCCTTTCATATATATTTCGGGCCCATGTTATATAATCTCACTCCAATTGGGTCTTGAAATGATTTACATGTTTAGTGATGCCTTAGTGGTTCACTTACATGGATCATTGGGCCTGGAAGGAGTTTATACCTTTTTCTTCGTGTAAATTCGATTAAGGATCTAGTGAGTTTTGTCGGTTGGCACCTATTAAGTGTACGATCGTAGCCTGTAGTTATAACCAGAGTCTCTTAGAGGGAGAACGGGGATTTGTGTATAGATCTATACGGAGATGACAACCCACACCTGAGCTGTTCGCTACAGTTAGACTAACTCAGTCTAGGGTGACGAAAACCTTATAATCAAAGTCAAAACCGGCATCCAACGACGCCAAGACAGGTGAACTTGTGATTATTTATTATGGTTATGACGGCTCGCTTAGAGGAATTAACGTTATGAAGTTTACGGAAGACCATTTTTTTACAGGCAACATCGGGTTGTCTGGGAACATTCTCTTTACATGCTCTTACATTCCCTCTACATTCTCTTTACCTTTTTAGTCAAATAAACAATAACATACATACATTAATACAAGATCTAACACTAACACACTAAACAG